CAAGTCATGAGGTGACCATCGCGCTCACGTTACGCGTCATACACATCACCCACATCGTACGAGCGTATAGCGCACCCAGCATCGGAATCCAATTGCATGTGCGTATCCTTTGTTGGTATATGCGCCTTACCACATTCCCAGCCAGACAGCAGGTTTCCACATTGCACACTGACTCACCCACGTTTTAGTACTAGGCGGGTTGGCTGTTTTCGTCGGCAATGGGTCAGAGATACCATCCATGTGTGGGTGCACAAACCACGCCGTTGGAGCAGCTATGTTCGGGGCAATCGTGACAATGACCCAGAGGTCTCGCACCGCTCTTGGCAGCAGCTTTTCGACCTCACTCCACAAGGGCACACACCCGTGGTGCCCCTGGTACTCCGCATGCAAAGAGGCAACCTCAGATCGACACACTGGGGTTGGATCCTTTAACGACCAACGTCCTCGGACTTACACGATGAGTGACAACGCCATCAATGCGAGTGTACGTTTTTTTTGTATCCGTGGGTGAAGAAAGGCCGAGTTGCAGGCAGCGCGATGGAGCAACCCAGGACACGCTGGATAGGCCCGCGCTACGAGTCGCAATGGACCCTCATCCGCTCATGCTGTCCTCCACTCGTCTCACTGTGGTTTTGCTGCTGGACTCCTGGACGCGTACCCCCGTTGACTCCCTCTCCCAATCCCTCCCTCCTCGAGCCTCCTCCCCCTCCTCAGGCCTCCGCCCACTCCTCCCTCCCTGCCTCCCTCCCTCCTCCTCCCTCTCCCCCCTCCCCCCTCCTTCCCCCATCCTCGCCGTCGGACTCGCCCGGGGGGACGATCGGCGGGGCTCGGCGGCACCACGACTCGCACAGGGCGCTGCTGCCAGGAGCGCCCCCACCAGAGGACCCCCCCCCCTCGACGCCCATGCAGCGGGCCTGGTCGTCGTTCTCGCCGTCGCCGCCGGAGGGCGAGAGGCGGAGGAGGAGGAGGAGGAGGAGGAGGAGGAGGAGGTGGACGAGGAGGAGGTGGACGAGGAGGAGGGGGAGGACGAGGTGGGGGAGGCGGAGGAGGAGGAGGAGGAGGAGGAGGAGGAGGAGGAGGAGGAGGAGGAGGAGGGGGAAGAGGAGGATGGGATGGGACTGTGCACTGCGGAAGCGACGCGCGTCGCGCGATCGAACATGGAGGAGGAGGTGGAGGATGAGCAGATCGGATCCACTCCGTTGAATCCCGATGTTGGAAAGAGCGTGTTCGGAAAACTGGGGGGGGCCGCTGCTGGTGGAAAACCGGGGGGGGGGGTCACTGGGGGTTTTTAATTCGTCTCCTCCCCCTCTCGAAAACCGCGGGGGGTCACTACCTGTTCGAGCCCCCCCCACCCCCCCCGCCCAAGTCCATCATGAAAAGGGTGGGGGCGTCACTACGGGTTCGACCCCCCCCCCTCGCCGCCGGCAAACGATTCTCGCTCCTCGGGGTAGGAGGACAGTGGTGGGGACAGTGGGACAGTGGTGGAGACGGTGGTGGTGGGGACAGTGGTGTGGGGACAGTGGGACAGTGGCGGCGACAGTGGGAAAGTGGTGGGGACGGTGGTGGTGGGGACAGTGGTGAGGGGACAGCGCCACAGTGGTCGGGACAGTGGGGAAAGCGGGACAGTGGTGGAGACGGTAGTGGTGGTGACAGTGGTGAAGGCAGTGGTGAGGACGGTGGTGGGACGGGGGTACAGTGGGGAGAGTGGTGGGGACAGTGGAGACAGTGGGACAGTGGTGGGGACAGTGGGGACATTGGGACAGCACAGTGGGACAGCGGCAGGGACAGAGGAGACAGTGGGACAGTGGGAACAGTGGGGACAGTGGGACAGCGGGGACAGTAATACACTGGTGGGGGCACTGGTGGGGACAGCGGGGACTATGTTGGGAACAGGGGGGACACTGGGACAGTGGTGGGGGCAGTGGGACAGTGGTGGGGACAGTGGTGTGGGGATTGGGACAGTGGTGGGGACAGTGGGGACATTGGGATAGTGGTGGGAACGGTGGTGGTGGGGACTGGTGAGGGCGGTGATGAGAACGGTGGTGGGACAGGGGTCCAGTGGGGACAGTGTCGGGGACAGTGTCGGGGACAGTGGTGGGAAAAGTGGGACAGCACAGTGGGACAGCGGCGGGGACAGAGGGACAGTGGGACAGTCGGGACAGTCGGGACAGTGGGACAGTGGTGGGGGCCATGGGGAAGGTGGGGAGAGTGGGACCGTGGTGGGAACAGTTGTGGGGACAGTGGGGACAGTGCAACAGTGGTGGGGGCACTGGTGGGGACTGGAGGGGTGGGGGAGGGGGCGAGGGGTTTGGGGGGGGGCCAGGGGAAGGGGGGACGGAGGGGGGATCCAGCAGGGGGGGGGGGGATTTTCCCAGGGGGGGGAACTCCGAGTTCCCGAGGAAGAGGGGGGAGAATCATCCACAGTAAAGCGGCGGTGGATCACGCTCTCTCCGATGTTGCGATCCCCCTCCCAATCGAGGATCTCGGGGTGACCGCGAGGTACTGAGAGCAGCGGGGCAGGCGGTACTCGTACTTGATGTCCGGGCGCGGGAACCTCCGACCCATGAAACAACTAAGAGATGAGTTGCCACGGCAATAACTGAGAAGATATGGAAGGTGAGGACATCAAGTTGGCGAGCCACATGGCACAACAAGACTTCGATGACACAGAGCTGAGCCACAGACGAAGCCAGTATATGTATGGGTCAGTGGCCTGCGGCGGTCTTGGGAATGGATCGCCTCCCGTCGGCCCTACCTTCATCAGTGTGGTGCTGCCCATTCAGAAACCACCTACGGTTCTTCTGAGCACGCTCATTCATGAGGTTCGCTACGGGATGACCGGATGGATGACGGGGAGATCGGGACATGGTCAGGAGGACGAGCAGGAGGTGCATGGGGGGAAGGCGGAAGGATAGGAGGAGGACTCGGGAGGAGGGCGATAAAGTAGGATTACATTTAGGCCGTGGACACTGGGACTACGAGCAGACAGAGATGGGGGGAAGGTGAAGAGCGCGAAACGTGTGGAGGACCACGAGAGCCGAGGCGGAGGACGACGAGGCAGTCGAGGTGGAGGAGGCGTATGCGACGCTGTGGTCTCCTCCTCCTCTTTCTCCTCTTCCTTTCTCCTCCCCCTCCTCCTCCTCCTCCTCTTCCTCCTCCTCCTCCTCCTCCTCTTCGTTCTCTCTCATGATAGCACTTGTCCGAAAGTCTTAAGTCGGGCCTGTCCCTCTACAGGGGGAACACTCAAACATAGTCAAACAATAGTCTGGGGACGACGTTTCCACTATGTTTTGACTGCTTTTGAGCATTTCTGTTCGCGTATTTGTTATTTTTCGTCCAAGATCCCCTTGTAGGAGGACATGCCCGACCTTAAGCAAGTCCCGAGTCCCGTGCTCAACCACTTCATCGCAGTGCGCACGGCGGTGCACGTCGTCGGCCGATGCCGTGTGATCTTGAGTGTCGGCCCCCGGTGCTGGGACCACGGGTCGGCGAGTATGTTGCGCGTGGTACATGTCTGATTAGACACCTCCTCCTCCTCCTCCTCCTCGTCCTCCTCCTCCTTTTCCTTCTCCTCCACCTCCTCCCCCTCCTCCACCTCCCCCTCCTCCACCTCCTTCACCTCCTCCTCCTCGGGTCGCCTACGGCCCGGGGGGAAACCGTGCAGCCGAGACAGGACTGACTAGCTATATCCCTGGTGCTGTGACCATATACCGTGTGGTGAGCCACTGGGGGCTCGGGCTGGCCGCCGCACGGCTCGGGGCCTCCGGCCGTTCTCCGGGGACGCCTCGGGCGACCAGGGCCTGCAGGGTCCCAGAGAGCGGCGTGGTGATGGACCGTTAGGGGGCCACCTGCGAGCCCTACCCCTACCCCCCACGATTTCTGAGGGGGAGGGTGGGGTTCGCTCCGCTCGGGAGCTCCCGAGCGAAGTGAACCCCGCCCCTCCCCCTCAGAACTCGTTGGGGGGGGTGGGGGTAGGGTTCGCACGTGGCCCCCCAGCCGTGCGGCGAGGTCTTCGGGGATCCCGAGGTCCCCGCGCGCGTTCTGCGGCCCTGCCGTGCGCCTCCCCGATATTCGCCGGCCCAACGGGCCAGAGGCGTGCTAAGATCTCCGGTAACTGCTCTACAATGTTTCTACTTCGCGCGCGCGGGGCGGCCCCTGGGGGTCCCCAGACGAAAAGTACCCCGACCAGGTCCCGGCCGGTCCCCGGCCGGGTCCCCGGCCGGGTCCCCCCGAGCGCTCCACGAGCGCACCAACAGGGCTCCGAAAACGTCCCCGAGGACCCAAACAAAACCAAGAGGCCCGCAAGAGGTCCCCAAGATGGTACACGAGGCGTCCGAGATGCCACAAGATCGCTCCAAGACGCCCAAGATGGCCCCCAGACGCTCCAAGAGGTCTCCAAGCGTACTCCCAAGAGGGCCCCAAGAGGCAAAATTCAGTGCTTTTCCTTAGGTTTTGGACATATTTTGGCTTTTCCACCTTTTCCGCTTCCCGAAGCCCCAAGACAGCCCAAGACGACTCCAAGATCGCCCCAAGAGGGCTTAAGAGGCCCCCAAGAGAGCCCCAAGACGGCCCAAGAGGGCTCCAAGACGGCCCAAGAGGTCTCCAAGACGGCCCAAGAGGGCCCCAAGAACGCCCCAAGAGGGGGAACACGAAACAACATTTCCAGCCCTCGGCCCCAAGAAGCCCCCAGGAGGTCCCAAGAGGCCCCTAAGAGGCCCCAAGAGACCCCCCAGAGGCTCTCAGGAAGCTCCCAAGAAGCCCCCAAGCGGCCCCAGGAGGCCCCCAAAATGCCCCCCCGAGCACGCGAGCAAGCGCCAGCGATGCTACAATATGGCCAACCGCCAGAGCATCAGCGACGGTTTTTTTCTTCCAGCCCTCCTTGCTCTGGATCCGTCAAATCACACCCCTACATGTCGTTTTACTTTCCCCTCAATGGCTCAGCGCTCCGCCGACCCGACGTCGCACCCTCCGTCTTCCAGCAATCGCTGCGTCCGGGTCGGTTACATTGCTTTCACCTTCTTCCGCGCAGCGGGCCCCGTGGAGCTCTTGCAGGCTCGGCATACTGCGCCCCGGCCGTGTCTCCGCGCATGCCGCAACACCTCCGCGTCGAACTCTGTCGGGCTCTTCGTCGCCCCACACGACGGGCAAGTCGCCAGCGCTCCGCACTGTCTGCACGCCTTCTCGGCCTTCGTGAAGCACTGCCTGTCTAAGACCTGCTCGCATTCTGAACACTTGTGGCATTCCAAGCACCTCCTCACAGGCCGTTCAGCTCCCCGCTGCCGCTGCCGCCCGCCATCCGGAAAGGAGACCTTCGGCAGCATCCTCTCGCACACCTCGCACTTCTTTGCTGCCGCGCCGCACTGTATGCACGCCTTCTCGGCCTTCGTGAAGCACTGCCTGTCTAAGACCTGCTCGCATTCTGAACACTTGTGGCATTCCAAGCACCTCCTCACAGGCCGTTCAGCTCCCCGCTGCCGCTGCCGCCCGCCATCCGGAAAGGAGACCTTCGGCAGCATCCTCTCGCACACCTCGCACTTCTCTGCTGCCGCGCCGCACTGCATGCACGCCTTCTCGGCCTTCGTGAAGCACTTCCTGTCTAAGACCTGCTTGCATTCTGAACACTTGTGGCATTCCAAGCACCTCCTCACAGGCCGTTCATCTCCCCGCTGCCGCTGCCGCCCGCCATTCGGAAAGGAGTCCTTCGGCAGCATCCTCTCGCACACCTCGCACGTTAGACGCGCGCTACACTCTCTGCAAACCTTCTCGGCCTTCGAGAAGCACTGCTTGTCCAGCACCTGCCTGCACTCGGGACACTCGTGGCATTCCAGGCACCGCCGGACATGCCGCTCAGCACCCCTCTGTTGCGTCCGCCCGCACCGCGGAAAGCTGTCCTTCGCCAGCGTCCTCTCGCACACCTCGCACTTCACAGGTGCGCACATCGCGCACACCCGCCCATTGCAAACGAATTTCCTGTAATCCTCGACCCTTTCCTTGCAGACGACGCACACTTCGCACTCCGCGCACCGACGGATGGCCTGTCTGCGAACTTGGCGAGGCTGGCCTCGGAAACTGATCACTGGCTTCTCCGTGCCGCACACAGTGCATTCGAAGACGCACTGGTCTTTGCAACACTTGGAACAGCAATGCGCCACTTCTGCCCCTGGCATCCTGAACGCGTGCACGCCTGACACGTACTCCCCGCACTTGGCGCAGACGTACACCTCGTAGCTGCCGGCAAGCACGCACGCGTTGCACTCGTCACTCCCTTCCTCGAACAGCGCTATAATCTGTAGATGCTGACACGAAATGCACTGTTTCTGCAGGAAGGTCGCCGCCGCATCCTTTGCCCGTTCGCTACACAACGCGTCCGCGCACGCCTTGCACTCGCGCCAATGCCCCGAACCCAGACACTTCTCCCCGACGTCTCCCCGATGCCGCGGCTTTGCTCCGAAACCCTCCGCTGGAAACGCCAGGCGACAGCACCAGCAAGCCCACGTTGGACCTCGTTGCTTCCTCCGCTCCCTGCCAGCCTCCTGCGCAGCCACCATCGTGGCATACTCCTCCGTCGCCTCAGCTCTGCCGTACTCCTGAGCCTCTCCTGCAGGCCCTCCTGCAGTCGCTGCGTCTGGCCCATGCCGCGCGCGCAGCAACTTCAACAAGCAGTGGGGCCCCGCCGCGGCGCCTTGTCGGAAAAGCTCAGGTGCGAAAGCGCGCAGCAATAGCAAACCCTCTGCCGACGTCAGCCGCGAGAGAATAACGTACGCGGTCATCGCCTCGGAGGAGCCGACCAGATCCAGGACGTCTCCACAGTCGGCGAGCCCGGCCGTCAAGGTCGCCCCCTGCATCATGAACGCCGTGCTGGCGAAGTCCGGGATCCACGTGAAACCCGTGCGCCGTATCTTCGCCCCCGACGCTGAATTTCCGCACGCGCCGGCTCGGCGCTCCGTCGGCCACTGCGCACCCTCCGACCCTCTCGCTGTCCACTCTCCATCCCCCCCTGTCGTCACTTCTACCCGCCTCCTCTGCCCCCCTACACATTATCCTTCTCTCCCGCTTTCCCTTCGCGCCCTTCTCCTTCTCCACTCCCTCTCCCGACGACGACTCGACTATCCGACGGAGCTGCCGACGAGGCTCTCTACATAACTCCCACGTCCGTTGCACAGGGTGCAGAGGAAATACGCCAGGGCCCAACTTCGGATCCACGTTCCATGTCGCGCCGTCCACGCGGAGGTACAGGCAACGGGGCAAGTAATTCAGGAACCTCTCCGACCCCGCCACTCGAACGCGATCGGCGGGGTGGAGCTCCCACCCGACCAACTCGCAAGACATGTGCTTGAGAATCACAATGTCCTTCGCCTTGCACACTTTTTCGGTCGTCCGGCCCTTCATACCCACATACAGAATGTTAACGCCTGGAATCCCCGCCGTTTTCTGATCGTGGAGCATGAGCAACTTCTCCAGACCCTGCTTGAGCTTCCCCGGTGTCTTCGCAATCTGCGCTGGGTTGTCCGGCTTATCCTGAGCGGTGAACCATAGGGTATGCAGCTCGTGGGCCTTCGCGAACTCTGCCGCCCTCAGCAGCATAGCGTGGTACTTCGGGTCGTTGTTCTTGTGCATGTACGGTGCTGACACGAAGGGCTCCTGCACTACGCGCTGGTCCTCCGGCAGCACCAGCCGGTTCCTCCTCTCACGCTCAGACTGGCACTCTGCGCACTCCAGCTCCCGCATGGCTTGCCAGGTCGCCCCGCGAAGCTTCATGTCCGCCCACACCGCGTCCAGCGTCTTGCACCTGCCTTCCTGGCACGTGCATCCGGCCGCAAACGGCCAGCACCCCGCGTGCGCCGTCGGCATGCCCATCAGGAAATGATACGACTCCTCCGACATGCGCCCCTCCCGCGCCTCTTGCAACACCGAATTGTACCACGGATCCGCCGTCACTCTCTTCTGAATCACCAGCTCCCAGAAGTGCGTCAGACCGACGCGCGGATCGCTGCTCCAGAACAACTCCAGAGCTGCTTTTTCCTGCGATGTCTTCCCATCCTTCGGCGGCAAGAACACTGCGGCAGAAGCAGGGATCGGCGGGATTTGGTAGAAGTCCCCAAAGGCAAGAACGTTGTACCCGCCGAATGGCCTGTAGGTCTTGTCCGAACGCCTGCGATACCGGTTCACCTGCGCCGCGTCCGACAGGTGCTTGTCCAACGCGCCCAGCAGAGTGTCCGCCACCATGCCTACCTCATCTATCAGCAACCACCGCACAGCCTGGTTTCGAGTAAAGAGAACGTCCACGTCAGTGTGAGACAAACTCCTGTCACCGCCCCCCACTGCAACGTCGCCGCCAGAATGAATCGTCACACCGTTCATCGCGTGTGCCACTCTGTTCTGGAACGCAACGCAGAGGAACTGCACGCCGTGCTCCCAGTGCAACGCCTCCCTGAACATTCTGGTGATCCAGTGTATGAGTCGGCTCTTCCCCGTCCCTGGCCCCCCGTGAACAAAACCGCGAACGGGTTCCTCTCGAGCTTCCCGATCGGCGTGCCCCTTCGGCAACTCGCACCCTTCTTTCTCGAGTTCAAACTCCACCCGCACCCGCCGCATGACCTCCTCGATGACGGCTACGTCCTCTGGCTCCGGCGCCATGCCCTCCCTCTGCAGCTGCGCGAGCCACTCGTCCATCCTGCGCCCGTAGTCCACGACGGACAGACTCGCGAACGGCATCGTCACTCCGCGGTACGGAGCTGGTCTGTCTTCCACCATGCTCTTCTTCTTCGCGAACGCCTTCCGCAGCTCTTCGCTAGCAGGATACCCGCGGCTGTCAAACTCCACCTCCACGATGCGCTGCGCGACGCGTTCTCCCAGAGGTGGCGTCTGCCAGAGCGCCCGGCCCATGTTGATGATGTCTGCGTGGCGGCCGAAACCCGTCGACTGTTCGGTCGCATCCAACCGCGCCATCCCATTCAGCGCCTTGTGCACAACATCCATCGACCCTGCCCGCGTGTCCTCGTTCTTCCACGCCTCCTCGGAACTCCCGTCAGACGAGTCGATGTGCTCCTCCCTGGCGACTGTGCACGCTGCGGCCAACAAGTTCACGATGTACCGCTGGCTCGTCTTCGACACGACGTACCCGTCCAAGTACTTCTCCCACGAGGATCGATACGAATAGTACGTCTCCGACTCCACGACCTCCGCAGGGGGCCCCTTCGTTGTAAACCGGCGACGTTTCACTGCAACATCCGACCCCGTGCACTCTCCCCGTGGCGTCTCTGCTGCCTCCGTACTTCCTTGCCTGTTCAGCATGTCCAGCCACGCCGGGACGTCCTCCCCGTCGACGGCGATGCACTTCCCAAGATCAGACAGTATTGGGTTCCACCATTTCGCGTCCACTTCTGTCAAGCACCACGGGCGCATGTACACGCTCAGCCGACGCGCGTTCTCCTCCTGCGAGAGCGAAGTGCCAGGCGTCGGGGCAAACGTCCACGTGGGCAGGTGCAGACGGTGCCTCCGCTCCCAACACCACGCGTGCCGAAGCCCCCGCAGCTCTGGGACATCTGGCAGCAAGATCCTCCCGGGCGCCTCCACCGCCACGAAGTGGTCCCCGCTCTTGTAGTTGCACCGGATCCCTCCGTCCCGGCACTCTTTCGCAAACCGACGCCCCGCATCTGTCATCACTGCTCGATACACCTCTTGCTGGCCCAGAGGGGGGTGGATCTTTTCCATGGACCAGTGCAATAACATCTCGTACGGGCTCAATACATCCACATTGTGAGACGTGCCCCGAAACCCGTACATTAGCGCAAACGGAGCCTCCGTGTACATGAAGTTCAAGTTCCCCCCTCCCGGCCGCATGCCCGACGCGACTGCTCTGCCTACTACTTTCCCCGTTTCGATCTCCTCGCGCTTCAGCAGGTCCACGGCTGGAAACCGCACCGTGGGGAACGTCCGAATGCACTCCGCCATCAGCGCGTCTGGGTGGTCCGCGTGCAGCGACAACAGGCAGGACTCCAGAGAAGTTCGCACAATGCCCTTGCACTCCAAATCCCGGACGAGGCGCCGAGAATAGTGCTGGAACTCCTGCGCCGCCGTTCGGTTCGTTGAGCGGGCTCCATCGGAGGCCACCTTTCTCTCCAACGTCGCGCTCAGCCTCTGAATCTCCTTCTGCCCAATGTCCTGCATCTTCGACGAGTACCCGCCAAAGTAGCCTGCCGCCAACGCCATGGCCGCTTGCAGATCGTTCGCCTGGGCTGCCAGGTCCCCCCCCCCGTAGCATGTGTGTCTCCTCGCGTCGAACACCAATACCTCGTGGGACTCGGGGAGAATAGGCAAGCGATGCGGGAACTTCACATCGGCGTTGCTCCCAGCAAATGCAATGAGCGCTCGTGGGCCCGCGTTCAACCATTCACTATTCCGGGCAGACAACACTGTCCCTAAAGCGCTCCGCGGCCCTGTCATTGGCATGCATCGGGAAACGGCCACGCAGCGACACACAAGCACCGGCTGCCTGCACATCTGGTTCTCCAGCGGAAAATCGGCCTTGCACCCGCTCTTACCTTTAGGCATACACGACCGCAGCGGCCGCCTCTCACCCGTCCGCTCGCACTTGGGGTGCACGTGATGGTTCATGCGGGACAGGCAGTGCTGCAATCGCTTCTCGTACTCGTCTGCCCACTCTGCAGCGCCAGCATCCGCACCTCGAGCCTTCCAAAAAAACGCTGGCAGACGACTCAATGCCATGTCTCCCGCAAACGCTGGCCAAGCAGCTTCCACATCCTCCCTCTCAGCTTCGAACTGCTCCACCGACGGGTACGACGCGCAGCGACTGTAGCTGACGAACTCCTTGAAAGCGTCCGCGGATATGAGCTTCTCCCGGAGCATGCGCCCCAGATCCGACAGAGTAGAGAACTGGCCAACCATCTGCAAGTCCGCCATCGCGCATTGCGCGCATGCTCCAGCCATGGACGCTTCAACTTCGGCCTCCTCCTCCTCCTCCTCCTCCTCCTTCTCCTCCTCCTCCTCCTCTTGGCATTTCCCCTCAGCGGCTACTCGGAATCCCGGGAACGTCTCATGCGACACTGGCTCGACCCCGTAGCACGCGGCATCTCTATGCGCAGAGTTGCAGGAATGTCTCAAGCGAAACTGGCTGGGTCACCTCGCGGCAGGCATCTCCAAGCCGAAAGTGGCAAGAATATGTCATGCGGAGCGGGCGAAGCCACCTCAGGACATGGCATCTCCAAACCCAACAGGTTCGAGGACATTTCAGGTGAAATGGGCCCCACCACCTCTCGCGTAGCGCTGGGCACCCAGAGATGCGAGGATGTCTCAGGCGAATTGGGCTGGACCATCTCAAATCTGGTCGTCTGAGAACACAGACTTGTGGCGATGTCTCAGGCGTAACGGGCTGGACCACCTCAGCGTGTTCACAATGTCTCGACGTGCAGGCCCCTCGGGCGGCACTGCCGATTTGACCACGACAATGCCCCCCAACACCGGCCGGGCAACCAGGGGACACTCCAATACAAAACCTATTCGACGCCACCACACGAGAAGTTCCCATATGCTTCAGTGGGCGCCGCGACCTCGCGGCGGCGGGTTGTGCCGCAGCCAGATGGATACAGAAAAGCGTGCACGTGCAGCACACCTTCCGCTTTCTGCGCTTCCACTGCGCCCACCATGGCATCAGCTCGCCCTGCCGCGCCCCCCATCGGCGTCGCGTTGCTCCCGAACACATCCATGCATGGACTGCCCGTCGATGCACAGTGTGGGCAATTCGCACACATGCGGAACCCGTACAAGCTTGGGAGCACGACGCGAGTCATGACTTGGAAGGCCCGCACGCAGCACAACGGATCGCGAGCGGTGATGCCGCGCCGCACGTCGTACTCGGGCAGCTCCACCGCCACCAGGTCCTCCCCGCCGTCCGGGCCTCCGCCAGGGCACAAACTCGGATGCTTCGCCCCCAAGCATTTTCGGACGTCCTCCCTCTCGGCAGCGAAAACAGGGTCGGCGCGGCGCCCACGGTACAAGTGCAGTGCCAGACCCGAATGGCGCTCGCTTGGTGTGAACGTAATGAACACAGGCACGCCGTAAAATATGCGGCTGCTGAATACGATGTGGCGTATGCTGCTCCTTATCTGCCTCGTCCCTGCCAACCGGCTCGACATGAACCTGTAGTTCCGCAGCAGCGCCTTCTCCTCCGCCGTGAGGCCGATGATCCGATCGATCTTAGACACGTCGCCGGCCACCTTCTTCCGCTGCCCACTACTTGTTTCATACTCTCCTGCAGGGCTCGTCCAATTTTATCAGGGCCCCCCCCCCGCCCGGCTCCCACCCCCCATCCACCTCTCCCTGCGCCCAAGGATTTGCTCTCGGGTCCTTCAGGAGGGAAAGAAACACACAGACACAATTAATCGTCGACTCCCAGGAAAATATGGGAAAATATGGGAAATGGGGGGGAAGACAAAAACCCAGAAAATATAGGAAAATATGGGGGATATTTTTATTTGTGTGTATTTATTTGTGTGTCCTAATTTCCCTTTAACCTCTCCCTGCGCCCAAGGATTTGCTCTCGGGTCCTGTATGCAGCAATTTGTACACGCGCTGCACAGCTGCCCCGATCTGCGGGTCGGGCACGTCGTTCGCGCCGCCCCTTGCGCAAAGCCCGTGAAAGGGACATCGACACTCCGAGGTTCCCTTTCGTGACGAACGACAAACTCCGCAGACCCGGACTGAAGTCCCGATCCTGCCGTATCTGGCCCTCGCACCGCGATGCCATCATGGCGTCGAAAGCGTGCAAGGACACTGGCGGAGCCCCGAACTCAGTCTTACGTCGCCAGCGGTCCTGCTGCGGAAAATCTGGGCCGCCCACGCACCACGGCAACGTGATGTTGAATACCTGCGGGATGTACTCCGTCCGAAACTGATCGAGCAGGTTCGAGCCCGTGCGCAAATTCAACTCAGAAAACTGCGCAAAAGCCTCTTCCCTGCTCGCTTCCACGTTCCTCCCGACGTCCGAATCTCGCTGCGGCATCAACAGCATGGGCCTCCCTTGATCAAGCTCCCGCCCCAAGTCGCCAACGGTGCTGTTGCGTTCCGCTGGTGTCGCGGCCTTGTCCACGCCGAGGAAGGGGGCGTCTTCTGGCACGGCAAGATCTAGGACATCCGTCAGCCCGTTCGGCACCACTGGAGCATCTGTCGAAGCCAACTTCAGAGCCTCTTGCCGAACCTGGTCCATGTCTACATTGTACCCCGGCTGGTTGGCGCTCTTGTGCATGGCGACCAGCTCAACTACGATGTTTCTCCGAACTGTCGCTTCCCTCAAGAGAGCGTTCAGGTCCACGAGGCCAGACGTTACCACGACACGCACCCTGTTCGCAAGCACCTCCCCAGTCACAGGCAGCGAGATGTGGACGGCGCCCGCCTCCAGCTTCTGCATCTGCTCCACCATGCTCGCCCAGTCCATGGGGGCGCTGAACAGCTGGCCTTTGTACGCAACCCGCCCCTCGTTCTGAAACAGCGGGGCATGCAACAAATGCTTCGGGCGCTTGCTCCTCTGCGCCTGGCGCACATCTATCGAGAAAAGCATCAGCCCTGTCCAGTATCGGGACGCGCATGTCTTCTCCATCCACGTGACGTTCTTCTCGTGTATCCACTTCTCGACGTACCCGTACCAATTGTCATTCGCGAGACCCATAGGGATCACCTCGTTCCGCTCCATCGTCAGCCGGCAAGACTTGCACACTGGAACACGGCAGCTCCAGCAAAGCCGCTTCCTATGCGACCGCCAAAGCGCGGGAAGCCCCAACTGCGGTCGATAGCTGGCACTTCGTTGCCGATGCACCCCCGATGCGTCTCCCGCGCGCACTCCCAGCGGAGGCGGCCGCTGTGCCCCCACTCCCATCGCCACCACCCCACCCCGCCCCACCCCACCGAGACTTCGCCGAAGCATCGGCCGCAGCGCTGTGCCCGTCGACCGCAGGTTTCCTGACCCGCGCTGGCGCCCGCGCGTCCTCGCTGGGCACCCTCGCGAACATTCGTGATCTTCAGGGCAGCAAATGAGCGCCGTCTCTCTCAAATCCAGCACCCCGCGCCCCCTCCCAGGCGCGTCTCCGAAGTTGCCGGCGATGGCGCGCTCGAACACCTCGGGATCTATGTCGAGGGTCCAATCGCCGAAGTCTGGGCACCGCATGCCTGGTCCAAGCGGCGCCAGCGGCGTGCCAGACTGGCAGTACCGTTGCTGGAACAGCTCCATCGAAAAGTTCTGCTTCAGAGCTTTCGCAGGAAGACCGAACAACCACTGCCCACTCACGTACCCGATGTCAGACCAGAAGCTCCCTGTGTCTAAGCATATGCGGGCGCATGCGAAACAGATCAGGCTGCGCACGCACGCGTCGTTGTACACCTGCAGAGTGTACTCCATGCAGCGCCGATCCACACTCAGCCCCACTGCAGGAAATGATGTCCGTTCGCGACAAGCGATGGCTTCACAATACAGACTCCAAATCCTCTCGCTGTCCACCCGGGCTCCTGGGTACACTGACTGCACGACCGCCTCTATGGCCGCCCCGTGCGCTTCGTCCACGTGCTCCCGCAAAGCCGCATCCCACGGGTACTCCACGGCGCGACGCACCTGCTCCGCCGTGGCATTCCCGTCGGCACACTGCCAACTGCAGCCGCGGAACGCACAAGCCACTCCTGCAGACTTCGCCGCCGACGACACATCACCGTCATCCCTGCAGAGAGTTGGCCGCGCGCGGACGCAACCATCTGACAGCGACTCCGCGACGTCCAGCCACTTCTGAAACTCGTACTTCTTCTGGAAATCTGCACGGCACACGACGTGGCACAGGTCTGGCCCCCGCCACTCCTCCCACGCCGCCTCATCCGACCCGCGCGCCTCTGACGACGGCGCTGCGCCCCCCATTCCAGGTAGGCTGCCGTCGTTGCGCTCCTGGCCGCCGCACGGCTTCCGAGACCTCTCAGCGACAGACTGCGACTGCGGGCCAGCCGCGGCGGCCCTTCCGCCTGCGCCGGCCCCTTGCCTGCCAGCCGCGCGCTGTTGCGGATCCACACCTGGTCCGAGAACCTCAGGCGCTGGCTGCTCTGGCAGAGATCCATGCAGGCGCTCGGATCCAGTCCTCCTCCGTGAGCGGCGCGGCTCTGGATGCGGGGGGGGCGGAGGTGGCGGCGCCCCGTCACTGCCCGCTCCTTCTCCCCGAGCGGCTGCATCTCTTTCGGCGCCGACTGCGTGCTGCGGCTGCTCCGCATGCGGCGGACGCGGTGGGTGGCCAGTTCTGCCGGAACCGACCCCAAGCTGCCGCGCAGCAGCCGCTCCGCCAGACTCGCTCGCTGGCTCCGCCCGCTGAAGCCGTTCGAAGTGACTCCTCACTGCGGCGACGTTGTCCCGCGCGTGAATGGCAACCCACGTGTATTCTCCGCCCATGCCTGCCGGCGACGCCCACCGATGCAGGGTGAGTGTCTGCTGCGCGTTATCGTACCGCGCAATCGCCACATTCCGCCCTGCACACTGACACACGGCTAATAACTCCAGATCACTCAAGAAGAAATCTTCCTGCTGCATGGCTTGCACGTAGTGCGGGAACACTCCATCCAGGAAATATGGGAACGGCTCAACCGAAGACAGGGCCTCGAATCGAGGTACATGTCGCAACAGCTCGCTCAGGATGGACGCAGGCCCGGCGACTACCCCGATGAAGTCGTCCGGAACCCGGCTGATGGAGTCCAACACTTTCTCGAGGAACGTCGTCAAGTTGTTACTCCCGCAATACTCAACCACACTCCTTCTGAACAACTGCCCTTCTGCGCACTCCCCAAACATAACATCAGCTTTGCACATGCCCTGCCCAGCGCCTGCGTCACCCCAGCGCTCATCCAAATATTCATCTTCGAGCCCCATCGTGGCCAACAATGGG